GAGAGGCCAGCCAGCAGTTCTGGGGGGCCCCACATTCCGGCGAGGGCCGGAGGGGCGGGCTCCACTCGGGGTCTGCTGGAGTCACTCTCGTGAGGTGCCGGAGCTCCACCTGCTGCGTCCCGATCCGGGCCGTGCTGGACCGGGTTTGCTCCCTCCAAACCATACTCCTTCCTCCGCTCTTGCAGGCATTCCTTTCCACATGTTCAAATAAAATACACTGCGGGTAGCGAGACACACAGAGGCGCCCTTGACACGCGAAGGTGGCCTGTCCTACCAACTGCACGCAGAAGGCACAGCGAGCTCCGCCTCAAAACAGGGACCCGAGGCCCCGCTCTGTCCCTGGAATCGGCCGGTTCCGCCTCCCAGGCACGGGGCGCTTTTCGCACAGCGCCCTGTAGGTGGCGCCATTGCGGCGCTGTGGCCGGGCGGCTGCGGAAGAATGGGGTCTTGGGGCGTCTCCGATGCCGGTGCCGGTGCCGGTGCCGGTGCCGGTGGGGGGCTGGGCCAGGGCTGAGCGGTTAGGGGTGGGCCGGCCGTCTGCCCCGCCTGGAAGGCAAAGGGGGGAACGCGCTCGGGGTCGCCGTCCGTGGTGGACCTGTTGCTCGAGAGGGACGGTGCAGCGAGGGCGTTCAGCGGGGATGCTCTGGGCGGCCGGCTCAGGGCTGGCTCTGCCCCCCGCCCCCCCCGCCCGGGCTCCCCGGGAAGGGGTCTGCTCATCTTCTTCGGGCAGGAGAAGACGTGTTTCTCTGTGTCTTTCTCTTGGAAGACAACTCGGACCCCTTGGAGGTGCCTTCTTCACCAGCAGAGAGAAGCCGCAGCCTGTCGGCCCCACCTGCTGCTCGAGGACGAAAAGCCCAGCCCCGGCCGGCCGGGACCGGCCAGGACAGGACAGGAGGCCTCAGGTCCTGCGGGGGGGTGGGGGTTCCGGAGGGTTTCTCCGCCTGTGCCCACCCACCTCCGCACACCCTGGCCCCCCGCCGTGGCTACACGTCCCCCCTCGCCCCACACACTTTTCCCCCGGCTGATGCTTTAGTCGTCGGGTTGGGCTTCATGAAATCGTCAGCGGCCGCCTCTCCGCTGTCTGCGCTGGGGTCTGCCAGAACAAGGGCCTTTATGGCTTCTCCTGCCTCTGGGGCGGACACCTGTCATCTGTCCCCCACTCCCCCCGGCACCCAGGAGGGCTGCAGCCCGGAGGCAGGTGGAGCAGGGGGAGGGAGGGGGAGAGGGAGGGGGCGTCTCCGGTGGAAGGGACTCTCGGGAAGTCTGTGCAGTTGAATTCCCAGGCACCATGAGGGGGGCAGCCGTGGGGGTCCCAGCCTGCGATAGGGCCTAGGGGTCGGGGAGGACGAGACCACCGCGGGGCACGGCAGTGGGGAGAGAGTGGGAAGGGCTGAGCGTCGGCCCTGGGCTCTCCCACGTGACCTGGGGTCTCTCCCACCCACCAGAGGGGACCCCAGAAGGGCGGGCGGTTCCGTGTGTAAGTCTGACCGGAGGAGCCGGACGGGGACCGCTCAGGGCCTGCGAAGCGTGACTGTAGAAACAGGGACAGCAGCTCCCGCACTTTGCTCGGCTCAGGGAAACGTGGGACCGTAGACGCAGAAAAGAGCCTGGAGTCAGGGGCGTGCGTCCCCAGCCTTGGCGGAGGGGGCTGATGAGACCCTGCGGGCTCTGGGGTCCCCGAGGGGTGGGCGAGTGAACCGTGCGCTCTGGATGGGCACCCGGCGGGGAGGAGCTGACCCCCATGGGGGCAGAGGAGGGCGTGTTATCTGTCAGGACAGGAGGAAGCAGGGAGGGGCGCGTGAAAGCTCATACACACGCCTCCACACGCAGCACGCCTCCACACGCAGCGGGGCCCCGATGGAGGGCGGTCGCCGGCGGCTCCCGGGGCCTGCCCTCCACCCAGAGAGACGCCTTTCCGAACGGGAGCGTCTCCGGACTCAACCCCTCTCCGCCGCGCAAACACCAAACCCAGAAATGAAGGGCGCATGGGCCTGTGCTCAGCCTCTGTGCCCGCCCCAGCCTACAACACTCCCATGAACGCTGCCTGGAGGGTGGAGTGTTAAGAGGACGAAATCTCAGACAGAAATCTGAAGGTCAGCCACCCCGGCCATGTCACCCCGAAACCCTGGGGAAACCCCCGCCCCGCCCCGGCAAGCCCCTGGAGGAACCGCAGCCCCTGCTGTTGAGGGTCTCCCGTGGGCGTGGCGGTGGTGGGCTAGCAGCCCGGGCAGGCCACCTGGCCGGGGAGGTGTGGCGGTGAAAGCACGACGGGTTTGCCGGCAGAGCAAAGCCTGCGGGGGTCCCAGGGAGCCTCTCGTGTCTGTGCCGTGTGACAGAGGCCAGTGGCGTAGAAACTACGATAATTCTCCCGAGGGGCCAGAGGGCGCTTCAGGGTCCCTTCTCGGTGAAGGAGCCCCCACTGCCCGCCGATGTTGGGGTCCTGAGAGCCGTCCAGTCGGGGTCCTGGCTTGGCACCCTCCCCCACGGCTCTCACCTGGGCACATCCCGGCTCATTTAAACCCCAGGACAGAGGCACGAATGACCCGCGAACGTCACCCAGCCCACAGCGAAAGCTGGAACAGGCCCTGCCAGGTCTAGCTTGTCCTAATAGGATTTTATTGGTTGCTTCTTAGCATTTTATAGTCTTCTAACCCTTGTGCTTCTGGGACGCAGCGGAGAGTAGGTGAGGAACAGCGAGAGACTCAGAACCATCGTGTACTCTGAAAGGCGGCTGTTAAAAATAACCCGGGAAGGTCTGGCTGTCCCCCAGGAAACAGCTCCCCTCCCCGGTGCAGACCCGCCAGGTCACCGCGAACAGCGGCCTCTGGTGGAGGCTGTGGGAGGGGGAGGGAGAGAGCTCAGAGTGGACGAGGACACAGCTTGCCCTTGGACGGTGTGTTTCAGATTCTGGGGTTTTTTGTTTGTTTTTTTGCATGTGGCCCTGCCCTCGGGTGTGCAGAGCTGAAGGAAGGGGTGGGTCCATTTGCATAAGGAGCCCAGAAACCTTCTGGGAAGGAAAGGACCGAGAAAGCCCCCGCCCCACCCTGCTCCTTGCAGTCTGGGATTAGGGAAACGGGCCGTGGTGGACGGCGGCGGCCCTGGCTGGAAGCCGAGGGCACACAAGGACTTCTTGTGTCCTTAGGGGAAGAGGAGTGATGTCAGCAGGTCACCCGAGGTCACAGCCCGGCGGACTCTTGCACAAAGTTTGTTCGGGGCGGGAGGCCCCTCTGCACTCGGCCGCGTTTCGTGCCCGAGAACAAGGGCTGTTTGTGGATGCGACCCGGGGGCCCCAGCGCGGGCCCCAGGAGGTGTGGATGGGGGCCTGGGGCCGCAGGGCCATCCTGCGTCCCAGCGGCGGTGGCAGCCCCTGGGCGCACAGGGTCCCAGGAGCCCGGGGTGTGCGGGCAGAGTGAGGGGAACCTGGAGGCGTGAGTGAGCAGGTCTGTCCCCCAGGCCCCGGACGAGGCCACCCTCTGGCCCCAGGGAACGGCCATGCGCCTCGTCTGGTCCAGGCGCTTCGGGGCGCAGAGCAGCTTAGGCCCCGGTCGGTACCGGTGCCACGGGGTCGCCGCCGAGTCTCACAGAGCAGGCGGCCGGTGCGGAAGGCGTTGACTGTGCACAACACACGGCGACGACGCATGCACAGTGCTCACGGTGCTGGCTCGTGACAGAGGGCGCGGTGACAGTCACCGGAGCCTCACAGCCGTCCTACCGTCGTCACTTCACCGTCGGGGACCCTGAGCACAGAGGGTTTAAGCAGCCTTTCCAAGGTCACACCCCAGTCCCCGGAGGAGGAGGCCAGGCCGAGGTCCGCAGTCCCGCCCCCGAGCCTGTGGAGCGCCGAGTGGCTGCGTCTGCTCGCTCAGCCACGGGACCACCCTGAGCGGGGGCGGGGGGACCGGGGTGGGGGAGGCTCAGTTGCCACGGTGAGTCTGGGAATCGCCAGCAAAGGGGAGGCGCAGGAGCCATGGCGGCTGGGTGAGATGAGTCACGGGGACGAGAGTGTGCAGGGGGAGATCTGGGCCAGGGGCTGAGGAACCCGACCCGAGGGCGCCAGGCAGGTCGGGCGGTTCCGGTGGAGGCAGATGCAGGGACAGGGAGGCGGTGGGAAGTTTGTCCCCCCAGGCTGGGGGTGGGGGACGGTGGGTCAGGAAGAAAAGACTCGAGCAGGCGGCACGCAGACCCCGCCTCGCAATCTGGGGGGGTCCAAGGAGGTTGTGGCAGCTTTTTCTTTTGTTCAGAAGAAAGACAAAAACTGAACCCCACAGGGGATGGGGCTTTGTCAGGTAACCCCGACTTTCATGCTGAGGTCTCCTTTGGCGTCTGGACCTAACTCTAGGGAGAGGATTGTTCAGGCTTAGGGATGGCGGGAAGAACACTGAAACCCCCACCCAAAGGGTCACAGGCCACGGGTTCTCCCCAATCCCCCCCACTTTTGCTGGCCCCGGGCGGCGGTGAGAAGTGCGCCCCACAAAGAACCAAGAACTTAGAGGCATTGGACACCCCAGTTTTTACTTCCTTTGTGATTCAGTCATCTTTCCCCATCTTGCGCGAATCCATTTTAGCTGAAGGAAGCATAGTCGCTAATGACTCGGTAAGAAAAAGCAGAAATCATAGCCAGTATTTACCCCAAAAAGTTTGAGTCCACACTGGTCATGGCATTTAAATGAACTATTAGTATGGACTGCGGAAAACATCAACTTCTGTTGAAATGAAGTTTCACAAACTTGTGCAATCTTATAAATGAACACTACACAACCATTCAGAGATGTTTTTGTGTATTGCATTGTCTGCAGAAACATCACTGGTGTCCATTTTTTTTTTTCCAGCAGGTTGAATTCTGTGTAAAAAGTAGCTACTTCCCCATTTAGAGGACTTCACAGAATGTTGTCACAAGGTCGGCCTCCGGCTGTTTTTCATTTGAGGTTTCCTCCTCCTCACAGCCCCTCAGAGGGCGCCCCGCCCCGCCCCGCCCCGCCCCACCCCCCACGCCTGCCCGTGTCCGCGCTAAACCGCGCCTGAGCCTCTGTCACGTACTCACACGAAGCCCAGCACGCATGCCGAGTCTTGGCCAAAGTCATGGCATTGCCAGCCGGTGCTCTTGCCGCCCCGCCTCCCCCACCGTCACCGCGAGAAGGTGGACAGGGGGCCGGTGAGTGGGACGAGGAGGGTGGTCCGCCGTGCGGGCTCTGCGCACCCTCATCGGTCACGGTGGGAGGCAGGCGGTGCCCGGGGGCAGGGCAGTGGCCTGGGGGCAGAGCAGCACCGAGCAAGGACAGGGTTCGGCGCGGACCGGGAGGGCCCCGGGCACTGCAGCGCGTGGGTCTTGGACAGGGTCAGCCAGGCGGGCGCACCTGCTCCCGGGCACAGACGAAGGTGAGGGGTGGAGCCTGCAGGGGGCTGGGGTGGCGGCCCTGCGCACCGGCACCGGATGGGGGACGCGAGCTAAAGGACGTCTGCTGCCACCCGTGGGTCGTGCAGACGGGGTGGCCTCTGGGCTCCAGCCCAGACCGGCGAGGACCCGCCAGGGGCCGCACGGGCCGCCGAGGAGACCCAGGGCCCACGGCGGAGCAGGGTCCTGCACTCGGCCCAAGTCTGGCCTGAGTGGGAGTCGTGCCCAGCCTCCGTGTCGCCTCCGAGGACCGAGGGGCCGGGAAGTGAGCATGTGTGGGCTGGGAGCTGCGGCCCCGGCGCCGTGCCTGTGCGGTCTCGCTGGCTGTGTCCCTCCGCCCAAGGCCGCCATGCTTTCTCAGCAGCCACGTCTTCTCTGGTCTCGCCCGGACGCTGGTCACCAGCCTCTCAGGGGCCCCCGCGTGGCCCCTCTCCTCCCGGGACACTTAGTCACGCGGACTCCAAACGAGGCGGGAGGGTCGAGGTGGGACCCGAAGAAGGAATCTCCGCGTGCAGCCGTGCCGATGAACTCCGCCCCCCCAACCCACTGCCCCCCGGGGTCCTGTTCACGCTCCCCCCCGGCTCCTCGGGGGGCGAAACGGGCGGCGACCACTTTCCACTGCTCCGGTGTTCCAAACAAGCACGTCGCAGGCTCACTAACAGGCCAGAAGGGATGGAGCGGGTCACCGTAGTATCATCCAGAAACGACCCTCTGTGTCATTTCTCGTCGAGACGGCTCCGCCAGAAGGTCTCTGCCGCCCGGTGCCCCTGGGAGCCGGGCCCTTTCTCCTCCGGGAAACGAAGCGGGGTTGTCCAGGTTCTGTTCCAGGGGTCAGCAGGTGTGCACGTGCTGTCTCCCCACAGGACAGCGGGGACCCAGGCCAGCAGCACAGGCCGCCCCCACGCTGCCGGAAACGTCCTTTCTCCCCTGGTCCCGGCCCTGCCGGCCCGAGGGGGCCCGGTCACGACGCGGCGGTGCCTGTCAGTGTCGGCGGAGACCCCGCCCCCCGCTGCGTCACCTCCTCTCCTCCCAAAGATGGAACCGGGGGTGCGGGGGTGGGGGGGCGGCGAGAGGCCGCACACCCTTCTCCGTTCTCCTGCGGGAAGAGGTTTATGTAGCAGACTCTGCTAGCCTTTCCCCAGGACATTCGTTCCGGGCGGCCGGCGCAGGCGGGCCCGCAGTCCGATAGGGAGCCTAGACTGACCCCCCGCCCTCTGCCCCGGCGGGGGTTACTGGAGGCCTCTCTGTCTGTGGGAAAATATCTCTGCACACCCGAACGGACGGATGAGTCTCTGAAAACGGGGCCAGGGCCCGCGTCCGAGTCGGTGCGGGTGTGGCGGTCCCCGCTGGGGGCGGCCGATCGCGCAGCATCTTGGTGACCGGACAGCCCGATGTCCACGAGAGCGGAGTCACATGATGTGGGGACTGGACCGTCCCTGAGGGTTCTGTGAGCACCTCATTCTCCGGAAGAGAAGCTGCTGCAGGGAGGGCCGAGGTGGGACCCGAAGAAGGGGCCGGGGGGAAGGTGAGGAGGGCAGGGTCCCATGTGGTGGGGGGGACGTCATGGTTAGGGGGGCAGACGGGCCGGGCTCCGGGCCGGCGGGCCGCTGGCAAGGCGAGGCTGGAGGAGTCTCTCCACAGAACTGACCCCGTTACCGCGTTCACACTCCCCGGGGCGGCGCGGGCGCCCCTGCGTGGGGGACGTGGGGGACCTGGGGCAGCGCGCACGGTGCCGGCGGGCAGCACCGGCGTCGGGGACAGAGGCCGCCCTTCCCTTCCCCGACGAGCGCTGTCCGAGCCGCATGTGCACTTGGAGACGGCCCCCCGCCTCCGACGGGGTGTCTAGCGAGATACATTTTCACAAAATCCCCAACCCGGCACGGCCTTACTCCCGAGACAGTGGGCAGCAGTGAATCAGCGCTGGGCACTCGGGGGCCGGCCGAATGGGGGTGGGGGTTCCAGTGACAGCAAACAGAACATGGGCTAGTGAAAACACACGCGTGCACGATTTACACACACACACACACACACACACACACGAAGTCTCTGCAGAGAGGGGCAAGGAGACACGAGTTCAACCCTAACCCAGGCTCCTCCCTTCTGACTCAAAAGCAGCGCCCAGCGACTTCCTGTGCTCTCCCCAGAGGGACGAGTTCTCTCTGCCCCTGCCCCCCGCCCCCCGGCCCCCCGCCCCCCCCCCGCCGCTGGGAACCCGGCTCTTCTTCAGAAGTTGACTCACGGCCTTCGGGTCAAAGGCTGTGTCTGCCTCCAGTTTCAGAAGAGACGCAGCCAGGCCCGCCGCCCGCCTGCGCGGAGCCTGGTTTTCCCTGGTGCAGGTGTGGGGCCGTGTGGGGGTGGGAGGTCGACCTCAGAACACAGAAAGGTCGTCCTGATAAGCCAGGGAATCAAAGAGAAGAGCCGAATTCAAACTCAGAGCAAGACACCGACCTCGCGACAGCGCTCCCAGCTGAACTCGGCGGCACTTGCTCGCCGGCGTGCGGAAGGAAGTGGTGAGTCACCCGGGCTCCCGCGGGCCCTCGCTGCGCCGCCCCCTCCCGTCCGGCCAGACTGCGGGGCCTGGGGAGCGTGGACTGTCCGTGCGGCCTCGGGCCGTAGCCTCGACCCCCCTGGTCCGGTCAGTGAGAACACAGGGCCCCTGGTTAATGCAGCCGGTTGCCAATCGAAAAGAAAGAGGATTTTCTTAGCTGAAATAATTCATACATTCATAGAGACTGAAGCAACACATACATTAATGGTGAAACAAACCTTGACTTTGTCACATAAGCAGTTGATTGTGGTGAGTGTATTCAGTGTCAGTATTTACCCCCCCCACCCCAAGAGCATGGCTGTGGTAAACACACACACGTAGCATAGATCTGGGAGAAGGAGGGGTGCGGGATGGACACAGATGGCCACCTCGGGGACCTCTCGCCCCTGGGCCAGCCCCTGTGCCACTGCAGTGCTTGGTCTGGGCCTGGCTCCGAGACCGCCGGGCCACCCTCCCGCGCTCGCTCGGTTCAGCAGGCCCGGCCGAGTGCAGGGCGCCGGGTCCCCCAGCGGGAGCTTGTTGGGTCGGCCCTCCTGCCGCTCGGACTGGCTGCCGTGTGAGGGAACCGTGCCGTGCGACCAGCTCCCTCAAGCTGGGGGGGCCTCACACAACACGGGTTCGCCCTCGCGGTTTCCTCGGCCGACGCAGCAGACGCAGCTTCGCCGGCAGGTCGGGGCTCGGGGCCTCTCCCCCGGACACCGCCCGAGCATCAGTGGGGCCGTGGCCACCGACAGGGCTGGGTGGGGGCTGGACACTCGGCTGCCCTCCTGGCCACCGGCGAGCCCCGGGTGGGGGCGGCGATCCAGACAGCGGGCTGGCCCGGGGCAGACAGCGCAGGCAGGAAGCCGAGGCGTCACTGTCGCACCACTGGCTCTGGAAGCTCTCGGCAGCGCCGCAGTCTGGCCCTGGGCCACGTGGAGACGGCACAGAGTGTGAAGGCCCAGGGGTGGGGACGCTCGCTGGGCCGCCCGGGAGGCAGGTGCCAGCTCCCTGCGCCCTCACTCAGGGTCCCTGCGGCCGCTTCCATCAAACAGACCGTCCTCACTGCGGGTGCTGCTGCGCTCGGGTGGAAACGAGGCGGGGACAACTGGTGACTTTCGCGCTGCGATTTTTCAGTGAGACGGACCTCTGTGGGCTTGGGTTAATTCCGAAAGATTTCCCCACGGAATCAGGGGCCAGGCGCAGAACGCAGACCTGCTGGGGTAGACGCAGACGACGGAAAGAATGTAAACGAAACTTAGGAGTTAATAGTGGTTGTTTGGGGTTGGGGGAGGAAGGCTCATTAATTTTCATTTGAGCATTCCTAATACTGCTCCGGTTGTGAAAACATCGATGTATCTCTTTTAAAAAAATCGTGATTTGGGGGCACTGGCGAGATTGTGGGCACTGTTTAATGTCCCTGTGGTTTCGTGTATTAGAAGGAGAGTAGTGCTTTTCCGGGCTCACGGTCAGGGCACCCGTTTCTCTCGGGAGCTGCAGGAGACGGTGACGGGAAGGCTTACCTCCAGCGGCACAGGAGCCGGTGCGGGGCCCCCGACCCCCCGGCGTGGCAGCGAGCGTGAGTTCACACGGACATTCCACACAGAGAGAATGGCGGCCACACCCCCTGGTGGGAGGGACCCAGCGCACTCCGGTCCTCGTGCGCTGGCCGGTCTTGAACCTGACGGACGACGAGACCGAGGCCCCGTGCAAGCATCCTCTGGAGCCGTGCCCTGAGTCTCGCTCTGGTCCTCTGCTCCTTTCCGCGGGGTTCCCACGAACGTCAAGTCTTTGAACAGCATGAGACCAAGGCGGTGCAAATTCCTGTGCAAAGCCATTGGCGATGGCTTCCTATTATTTTCTTAAAGAATGGGGGGAGAGGGGAAGGGCCATTGAGGAACAAGTGTAGAGGACACATGGACACAGTCCAAGGGGGGTAGGATCGGGGGTGGGGGGGTGGGTGGGGCAGGGGGGAGTGATGGGGGAAACAGAGACAACTGTCCTTGAACAACAATAAAAAAAAACAGGTAGATGTTTCCAACCTTGGAAGTGACAGGCAAGGCAGGGGGTGGGTGAAGAGTGTCCCTTTGCATCTTCGGTGTCCCCCCCGCCCAAAGCCAGTCTCCCCAGGTCCAGCCCAGAACCAGAAGGCTCCTGGAATCATGGGGTGTCTCCCATCACCCCGCCGTTCTGCTGTTACTGACAGCTGCCACCAGGGGGCGCAAAACTGGGGTTGGGACCTGCATGGATTTGGATTAAGTCCCCGAAACCCTTGCCCCCTGGATGCGTGGGTCCAAAAGGCAACGGCAGTCAGTTGCTTCACCGGTCTCGCACGATGCAGCACCCCGTGTCCATCCTGACGTTTTAACAGCCCACCCACCCAGTCACAGCAAGGCTTTACCATCATACTAAAGATCTCTCCTCCCGCCCAGACGACCTGTTGATAATGCCGGCCTCTGTGACAACCGGCGAAGAATTTATACTGACTGGTTACTGCACCTGAGTCCCCTTCAAGGAGGGGAAGAGAGAGACCAAAAAGCCTACGATACTTTCCAAAATCGTTTTATTGTTTTCTTCCCTGAAGAGTAAAAACAAATCTCAGAAAATAAACGTCTCTCCTAATTGTAAGAACAGGCCTCTGGCTGACAGGAGCAGAGTGGGGTCCCCCGTCAGAGATGCCCCCCCCCCCCGGGTTCCTGATGGCAGGGTGATGCTGCGTAAGTCACGGTGCTGAGCTTGGGGGCGGGGGCGTTCGGCCTCAGAGGGGCGGTGCCTGTGAGGGGTCATTTTAATCCCGGGAGACGTGAACATTTATTTACTTTGTTATATTAAAATTAGCTTAGGAAATACAGGGCATCAATAATTTATCTATAAACAAAGTAAACCAATTAGAGATTTTCTTTTCTTTTTTAAAAATAATAGTTTATTGATTGTGCTGTTACAGTCGCCCTGACTTTCCCCCTTTGCCCCCCTCCACCCAGCAGCCCCCGCCCCCTCAGGCAACCCCCCCACCATGGTCATGTCCAAGGCCCAGGTGCAGAAGTTCTTCGGCTGCTCCATTTCCTAGGCTGCACTGCACATCCCCACGGCCGTTCTGTGACCACCTGCCTGTACTCCCCCATCCCCTCGCCTCTCCACCCACTCTCCCCGCCCCCTCCCATCTGACATCCTTCTTGTAACTGACTTCTTTTCTCTTGCTGCTGTTAAGACTCTCTCTTTATCTTTAACCTTGGGCCTTTTAATCATGATGCATCTTCGGGTGGGCCTCTCTGCACCCATCGTAATTGGGACTCTGTGCTTCCTGGACTTGCATGTCTGTTTCCTTCACCAAATTAGGGAAGTTTTCGTTCACTGTTTTTTCAGGCAGATTTCCAGTTTCTTGCTCTTCCTCTTTTCCTCTGGCACCCCTACGAGGCAAATGTTGGACCTCATAAAATTGTAGAGCCTGATTATACTGTCTTCATTTTGGGGGATTCTTTTTTCTTCTTGTTATTCTGCGTGGTTGGTTTTTGGTTCCTTATGTTCCAAATCATTGATCTGATTCTTGGCTCCATCCACTCTACTGTCGTTTCCCTGTAAATTGTTCTTTGTTTCAATTGGTGTATCCTTCATTTCAGACTGGGTCTTTTTCATGCTGCCGAGGCCCTCACTGAGTTCCCTGAGCACCCTTATAACCAGGGTTTTGAATTTGGCATCTGACAGATTGCTTACCTCCATTTTGTTTAGCCCTATTTCTGGAGTTTTGATCTGTTCTTTCATTTGGACCATGTTTCTTTGTCCTCTTGTTTTGGCAGCCTCCCTGTGTTTGTTTCTGTGCATTAGGTAGAGCTGCTTTGTCTCCGTGTCTTGGTCGTGTGGCCTAATGCAGCAGGTGCCCTGTAGGGCCCAGTGGCACAGCCTCCCCTGTCACCCAAGCTGGGTACTCAAGGTTCACCCTTCATGTGGGCTGAGCACACCCTCCTCTTGTGATTGAGCCTTGGTTGCTGTTGGCAGATCGATGGGAGGGATTCACCCAGGCCAGTCAGCTGCAAGGACTGGCTGTGACCACCGACCACCCACCTCCGCCCTCTGTGCAGGGGCAGGGTGGTGGTGCTCTGGGGTGGTCTGTAGCTGTCCACTGGGTGCACTGGTCCTGCAGCTTCCCAGGTGGTGCAGCCCACGGTCAGCCCCACTCTGTGTTTGCCCAGGGCACCCTGCCTGAGCTGTGAAGCAACCTGAGATGGCTGCTGCTTGTGCTGGGCTGGGACACTCCCAGGTGAAGCCAATCTGTGACTCTAATCTGGCTGCTGTTAGGGCTCACCAAAGCCAGCTGCTGCTTTGATAGGATTTAAGAGCCGAGACCAGCCATTCTCATGGGACCGCAGCGTGGGTGGGCCTGTAAGTTGGGTGGGGGAGAGCCACTGATACACAGTTCATGCTGTATTTGCATATGGTGCTTCTGCAAGAATCAGTACCAGCAAACTGGCTTTTAGACCCTAAGATCAACGCTGGCAAAGGCTGACAATGAAATGTTCAATTAACACATTACAATTTTATTGGTCAGCTATACCACAACAAAGCTGGATAAACAAAATGCATATTTTTCAGATTGAAAAATCAGTCCATCCAGGCAGGATCTTTAAATCACACGAAACTCGTTGCCAGATCATTGGAGCAATGACACTACGTGCTGAGACATAAAAATAAGCGATAGACCGTGATCTGTTTGAGCATGTCATTTGTTGAAAATATTTTTTTCTGGTGAGTTTCCATTTCCTTTTCTCTTCTTAATTGGGTTTCTGGGATTTTTTTCTATAGCTCCTTGGGCTGTGTCCCCCACCTCCTGGAAACTGTGGCAGTGAATGTTGTGCACACTTCACTGCGTGTGTATCAGGCACCTCTCAGCCTGTAGTTGGTGAGGGCGGGGGGGGGGTCCCGCAGGGGGTGTTCTGGGGGCTCAGCCCAGCCTGCCCTCCGGTCGGCCCCGCGCCAGCGTCCTCGCCC